TCTGTCTTCTCTCAAATTCCGCACCGTATGCGCTAAGGTGCATTACCTTGCAAAATGGAATGGACTTGTTCAAAAACGCACTTAATTGAAACTGATCCAGTAAAAACATAATTTAGTGAGATAATAGCTCTGCCGATTCTTATTCATGCAAACAGAGGAAGTTTTAAATTATCTGCTGAGTTAATAGAACTGATGAAATATCCAAGGAAATACTTTATAGATATAGTTGCAGTTTACAAGTGTCTGTCAGTTCTCCTTAGCCTTGAGAACAGTTTGCAGGTAGCATGTTTTCAGCCTCTTCCCCTCATCCAGAAGTCATGTGTTGAATTATTTTAATTTTTTTTTAAGTCTGCTTGATTGTGGCTTCAGTTCACTGTGCCAGGTGACTCAACTTGCTTGTGTGGGTTGGAGTTCAAGCCTTGTCTCTTCTTCAGCCTGCCAGCCCATCTGGCTTCCTCTAGATGATCTGGCATGGAAGTCCTGGGGAATCAGGGCTTGAAGCACCACTCACATTGTTCAGACAGTACAGCCATGTGATAAGAGGTTTACACGCCCCTCAAACTGTAGAGATTGTTCTTGAGAACTGTTTACCAAGAAACGCTATGCTGGCAAACCTGGAACTCTAGTTTTCTTTGATTTGTTAATTAGCTAGCTTTACCCTTTAGATAAGGCAATAACTTGCTAAAAGTTCATTCCCATCAATATGCCTGTCACTTTTGAAAAAGTGGTTAATAGTAAAATTAAGAATGCATTAAGGGAAATTAGGGATCATTCAAAGGATGATTTCCATCAGCAGTTGTTTGGAGCAGTGGAATACTTTGCTAACCAAAAAAATAGAGACCCAAAAAGATAGGTTATTTGAAATTCACAATTGAACATAATACTGCTGAGTATGCAATAGAAAATTGTCCTACTGTAGCAAGGGAATTAATGAGATACAGCTCCCATCCTGATATGATAATGTTTTGAACTCACACTACACTTGCTTTCTGCAGATGTGACTGAGTACACAGGTTGCCAAACAGCGCAGAATAAAGCCAGCCTTTGTCAATGGGTAGGAAAAGAGACCCCAGAAAGGCCCCCGAAACAGGCCTCAAATTCTGATGAGATCTACAGCTGTCGAGATTTACAGCTGCTGAGTGTCCCTTGCATCTTTTGTTTTCAATTCCAGTGTATGATCTCTGTTTTCTAGCTAAAACAGATGCTTCTAACAAAAATTAGATACCTCAAGAAGCAGATGTAAGTTACCATTACCATGATCCTGCCATTAATCCCAGCTGTGTGTTCCTGTCTCCAGGCACGCACTGTTGCTCCATCTCTTGTGCCAGACCAAGTGCTCAGCTCAGCTCCCAAAATGAGCCAATTCAGGGAACTAAACTGATAGAAAGCTACTTTTTTTTTTTCTTTTTTTTTTTTTTTTCTGAAATTATAATTTTCTGCTAGTTTTACTCCTTGAACAGGTTCACCACAGGGTCAGATGAGCATCACAGCTGAAACAAGGCAGAAGAAGGAAATCATTGGCAAGGAATTTCAATTTAGCTTGATTTAAATTGTCATGGAATTAAAGCCTCTGGTAAAAATATTGATAGCAGAGATTTCTTCTGTGGCCAGTGAAAAGAGAAAAGTAGCTTCAATCACTTTACATATCACCCTATATAGGACTTGATTTTTCTTCACTGGTTGTGGTGAAATCATGGGGATGCTACAATCTTAACTGAGACACTACGGTCATGCTGTGGACTAAGCATAAGATGTAAACTGGAATAATTTTGCATTTTCCATTCCAGCTTTTGTAAGCCCTAGTGTTTTGACGTTTCCTAGATTCTTGTTCTCCCCAGACCCTATATTGCCATTACAGAAACATAACTGCCCTCAGGGAGGTGTGTGAAAATATCTATTCCTTGTATCCAAACATGCTCAATATTTCATGTCACATTCCATTCTATAATAGCATGATGACAGAATACATATATAATCATGCTTTACTGGGTATAACTTAACAATAACATAAACTTACCTGTGATTCATTCTTTGTACAGAGAAAAGCCCAACAAATTTACTAATCAGATTATCACAGACATGAATGTACCATTATGGGGGGGAAAGGACCACTATGTAGTCCTGTCTATTCAAACATTTGCAGTGCTTTGCAAAGGAAAATTTAGCAAAGTCACGTGTGGGGAAGATGAGGTATTATAAGATTAAATGACTTGCCATTTGCTACTGTGTAACACAGCATCAGAGACAAACATAATTCACGTACTATTTTTCCACTCACTTAAGTTCCTCTCTTAAATGAGAGTCACTTTGCACTTAGGATAGCACAGCCTGTATCCAGGGTGTTATTGTGGATACTGCTGTGGTACTGAAGAAGGCTGTCCTGCCTGTGTGATCTGGCCAGGCTGCGCCAATTTACACCCTAAAAACTACCAGTGAGGCCTTCTAGATGTGCCAAGGAGCTTTGTACCCACTGGAGTTCGCTCTCGGGGTTCTTTAGACAGCAGTCTAAAGAGGATTCACTCATGCAGCAGCAGGCAAATTTGCGTTGCCTAAATACGCACAGCACTTAAAGGCATAGATTTAAAACTGTCAGAAAGATTGATGGGTGTACTGTCTTTCACACATCTGGGGGATCTTAACCTGATACTTCAGCTTTGGCATTCCTCTGCCCTCCTTAGCCACTTTCCTATGCTGCCCCGTCTGCTCTGTCCCCCTGCTCTGTCAGAGAAACAGTTCACAGATTCCTCCACCCCTCTGTAACACAGGCATGATACAACATCCAATCTCAGATTGCCAGTGCTATCAGAAAAAAGGAAATAGAGGCTAAAGAAACATTTTTCAAGGCTATGCACCTAGCCAAAGTACACCTGACCAGGTGACGTTTAAGGGATTTCCTTGTCTAGGACATTGTTTTCCTCTCCTGAAAACATCTTTTCAACAATCTGTATGGCTTTAGCTGCACAAGAAAAAAAGAAAGAAAGAACAGAGACATGCACAGTCTTCATATAAATTAGTCCAACATTTCATAAGAAAAGGTACCTTAATAATTGCTCTGTATGAATAATACCACTTGCTGTTTTATTCAGAAGTCTAAATTTATCCCAGTTTCTTAAACTACATTAGGATAACTTTTACACCAGAGATTGTATTAGCCCTTGACATTTTATATGAAAGCTATGGTGGCTTACACAAAACTAGCTCAAAGTGATGAAGCATCCATTTAAATCAATGTCTCTTAATTTTAATATCTCATCTAAATTGTGGTCTTGTATGCCATTTAACTAAAAGCATCCTAATCACTGTATTTTATCCATTTTTTTTCTCTTTGGAATTAATAGAGCCATGTAGATTCTAATGCTCAATTCAAAGGCATCTGTGCTTCCTATTCTCCTGTAAATATATCACGGACTCACTTCAGATCTAAGTGCATCTCTCCCAGTGGTTCTTGTAGCATGGTCTCATATTACCACATCTTAATCATACTTACAAAGCATTTTTCAATTCATTCATGTACACTACGGGTATCATCATAAGTAACTGTAGCACTCAAATTAAATAGACTTTATATTCCAATGCCTTATTATATTCCAATTCCTTGTCTTTATTTACTTGCTTTCTTAGTAATGTACAGACTACCACATTTTCTATTCATTCTCAGACTCGTATCACTGAGGTTCTCTTGTAAGAGAGGAGGAGATGAACTTACAGTATGACTGAATTAGTGCCTGATTGTCATATCCAGGAATATGATCTGTTATCAGTAGTCTGATAAAACTGAAGTGGCGGGGCTTCACAGTCTTTGTGCCACAGTGCTGGTGGGATTTAGCGCTAAACAACATGAGTGAACTGGTCCTTTGGGAGTGCAGTTGCAGTAGCCCTCAGGATGTTCTAAAGAGGCACAATGAAGCCAGTGGCCTGCAGGCCAAATCTCACCTCCGACATGCTCCATGCCTTTTCCTCAGAGGAAGAATTGAAGAGCTGTGCATGTAACAGACGAATACTTCTTCCTGTGCTATGCACAGTCCAGACATGGACTTGAGCCACTATCACCACATCCAGATGGGAGGAGCGTACTAGAGTTAGCAACCATCATTTTTGTATCACGCTGAATTGAGAGAGAGCTTTCAATGTCAAGATCTAGCCCCCGTGGCAGTCAGGCTTGGGGCACCATGTCAATAGATGATATTTTAGAGCTTAGCAGCAGTCCAGCATCAGGAGAAAGTAAAAGCTACATTTCCCTCCTTTCCCTGGGTGACTGTAGCCAAGGAAGTGGGCACAGTCTTTAGCACTAGCACACAATTTCACAGCCCAGTTACATGATGACTCAAGGGAATATGACTAGCGAGTGTGATGTTTGCTATTTGGCATATCTGTCAAAGTCCTATAGATATTTCTTGGCATTTGTCCAATTGCCTCCTTAATGTCTTGTGACATGTGTTCCTGAAGAGGCTGGATTTTATGTTTACATCTCTCTGGCCAGAAAATGAGCACCAAAGCAGATATTCCAAAAACTTAGTTTATTAAGCACTGCAACCATATACTTTAGAAATAATTTAATTTTCATGCCCTATTTTCTCTACAGTCTCAGTTTTGTGACAAACAGTGCTTGTTTTAAACAGGTGCAGAACTACCAAGGGACCAAGAGGGCTGCAGTCCCCTCATTAGCACACCCAGTGCATCAGACGCTGAAGCTACATCCATAATATAAATGTAATGTGTGCAGGAACATTCCCAGACACTGATGCCAGCTGGCAAAGAACGTCCCATGCCTATGCTGGTTTATTCTGTTAGCTTCCAAAACAGGGTGCAGCATGCAAACTGTTTATTGAGAATAAGCAAAGCCCAGGAATAATTTGGGAAAGTTCTACTTGGCATGGGCCAAACGCCAGGTGCCATTCTAGCAATCAAGTTTCAGTGCCCTTGGAGTTTTCCAAGCATGCTGGGATTTATTGGTATAGACAAAGTTTCTGTGTTGTTTTCAGGGAGGAGCTTACAACATTTCACAGCTTGTTATCTTCATCGTCCCAACACATCTGCCTCCAGCCCTACCACTGAAAGTTGATCTCAAGTAAAGGCCAGTGCTGTGACCATGTACATCCATAAAGCACTTCTGTACTCTCTTCTTCAGGATCTCTAAACAATATCAGTGTAGAAACAGAAGGTTCCTGCTTGTGGTTTGTCCTACATTACAAGATAGGTAAGTGTTCTTAGTTCAAGTGGTAGCTCTATCAGCATGGACAGTTTCAGTTTGCTCTTAATATACCTGTAGTGATAGCTCTTTTACATAAATATATATATATATATATATTAAGCAAATACTTCTTGGTCATGAGAGGCAGTCTGGTACTTTACACAGAGAGGCAAGTAAAGAACATGCACTGCAAGGACAATTGTGGTTGCTTTGGTGCAAATAAATGGATTCAATACCTTTGAAGGGGCTTTTCGGTCCTCCTTTTAAGCGTGTTCCATGCACAAGAAGTACCTTTGAAAGAATAACAAGAGTCACAAAATCAAAATAAGACATTATGGCTTCATTAATAGGATGTTTTTGATTGCCTAAAAATGTGTCCTGACAAAAATACTGCAGAAGTGCTGTAGTTCTTTATATAATACCATTCGGGGGGTCCTTTGAGCTTAGTTTCAGATCTATGTTTGGAGCAAAGAAACATTTAAAAAAGTAAGAAGAGTAAAATTATACTAATCAGTTTCAGGTTGTTCAGACTGAATTCAGTCTTCAGTGCTTATTAAGTACACCTGCCAAAAACCTTGCTTTGCCCCCCAAACCCATGCATCCATGCATTATACCTGCAGTCCGTAAGTACTCTTTGTGAAGCTGGCATCATAGGAATAGCCCCACGCAAACAGAGATGCTCCCCACTGGGCGACCTAGAACTCTGACTGGTATCTGTCACGCACTTCATGGTCACTGAGAGATAAAATTGTTCACATCTCCTGTGTCCTGCCTCAGCTTTCCTGGATAAAAAGGAACTGGAAGATGAAATATGCTTTTTTACATTTAGGTAGTTTTGGCTTACAAGGAAAGCCCATTTGAACTGCACTAGCTCTTTACACAAGAGCTGAAAATGGCACTATATCAAAATAGATCTGTCAGGCAGAATAAAATACAGTGTAATAATAGATAGTGAACACAACATTTAATTATACAGATGCATCATAATCTGAAGCAAAAATCAAAGTGGTCCACTGAAGAGGTAAGCAACTGCTTTGTTTACTAAAAATTGAATCTTCATAAGACATAGGATCCTGATGGCTTTTCTGAAGTAAGCAACTGTTCATTGAGAGCAGGATAAGAACTACCAAGCTCGCTGTACATCAGAATTTAGCAACAATTTGGGAGCAATGACTTTTAATGAAGGCAGTTACTGGGATCTGCAGTGAAGTGGTGATAACTCAGGGTTCTTTCAGATCCCATCTGCTACCAGACTGGGGTATAAACAATCGCCTTTTCTTCTGGTTAATAGGAAAAATATTTGCAGTCAGAAAGTAGAAGGGGTTTTTGGAGGATGGATGATAAAGCACATGCAAAGCAGAAGGCTTTCAATACAAAGGGAAGTTACTGTCCAAGGAAGAGGTAGAAAATGAGAAGAAACTTTTTTTAATACATATGAAACCAAGAGGCTTTTATATGCCTGAGTTATTATTGAAATCTGGCTGGATGTGATTACAGGGAGCTGTTGTTTCACGAATGATTTTTAATCCTGTTGGCAGAGTCAGACAGGGTATAAATTTACAAGTTGATTGGTATGCAGATCACCCTGCTACCTTGATATCGATTTGAAAGATGCAGGATGAATGTTCCCTGCTTTATAAGGAAAGCATGTGAAAAGGGAAAAAGATGCTCTGACTCCTGAGAGCCCTCGTTAAACACCACTGGATGGGAGTAATGGCATCTAAAGCAAGCACTGGATGGCCTTCCAGGAGCTGGAAGAAACTGTATCCAGAATGCTTCCCCTTTAAAGTGAAGGAGATGACAATATGTGGTAAGATAGGTGTGGGCATAGAGACTAAGGGCAGATAATGACAATTCAGTATCTGAACTACATTTCTGCATAAGCAGAAACATATATATACATAACAAACATATATAGCTGAAACCAGAATATCTTGATCCCTATTCCAAACCTAGGTGTGTTAATCCTATCTGCAACTTTATAAAATGATTTAAAGTATAGAAAGTGATGATTTTGTCATCCTTTAAGCCAAGGCAAAAGACATGACATAGTGAACTCTGAAATAACACAAAGGAGTAAAGTAAAATAATAGGATCTGCAAGTATACATTTTATGCAAAATACACATTTGTGCAAAATATGCATAACAAAAAACTACAGTGGAGAGACAAAGATTAAGAGGAGAAAGGTCTGATGCCATAAGCAGTGCAAAGAAGGCTAATCCACTGCTTACACTTATTTTTAGTCATGACTCCACAAAAAGAAAGAAATATAGTGAAAATCACGCATCAGTTTTAGAAGAGGTAATAAAGAATCTGTCTTTAACCTCAAACACAGGGCACTGAATGTTATTCCTGCTGTTAGTATTCAAAAAGAATCATGTATTTAGGCAAATAACAAAGTCATTATCTCTTACATTAGATTATATACAATATTATGAGGAATGTTAATGCTTTCTCTACTGAAGTTTACTGCAGATCCAGCAAATTTAAGCTGCTGAACCAGAGCACAAGGATGGTAGTCTATACCTCTCGCTATGCTTTTGGAACAGAATAAATCATAGTAGATGTTGCAAGGCAGCTACCAATAAACAACTGCTTGAACTAAGGAAGAAAATTAAGATAATGTGTGAGCAACTTTTCAGCACCCTTAACACTGAATCTTCTTGAGTTAATCTTTCATACCACAATAAACTCCAATGAAACTTACATGTCTAGCAGTGTGTCCTATCAAATACATTTAAAGATATATTTACAGGCTTCACTTGCCTGTTAAGGAGAGTTAATTCCCTACCCTCTGTATTTGAGATTTGAGAGTGAGAGAGCACAATTATTGATGATATTGGACAGGACGATTGCTTTTTCTCCTGATGCAGCTAGAAAACTTGTACTTTAGCATACCCACAGCTCAATCCAAACTGTGTACTGATCTCCTGCAAAGCACTGGGTTACCAGGCTGTCCATGCACAATTCAGCTGCAAAACTAGAAATATTAATTAACTTTTTCTGTGTTGCCAGCAGATATGGTATTCAAGCAGATTGATAATTAGTATTTCTGACTATGGCAGTAACACAGTAACCGAGGCTGTTCTCAGGTGGTGTGAAGCAGGAGTTCAGACACAACATTGTCAGTTAGGATCAACAGGACAGGTACCAGATACTTAGCAGTCCATCACATGCACATCTTTATGGCAGGAATAATATGTTGCCCTCTCCTGCAGACTGAATTCTGTGTACTTGTTGTGGTTGTGTTTTTTTTAAATTTGTTCTTCAACTGGGATTAAACCATTAGTTGTGCCTATCCTCACCTTCCATCTATAATTTTCAGGATATTGAATGTCAATACAAATTCTATGCAAGAAGCTGTGCCGTAGAGATTTGTGTCAGTCACTGGAGCTGATGCACTGATCTTTGCTCCAATAAGCAATGTAAAATGAAGCAAAAACACCATTTTAATGTTGTGTTGGGTTTTTGTTTGTTTGTGGTTTTGTGTGTGTTGTTGTTTCTTTTTAATCTTTAAAAAAGAGGTGGGGATTTCTCCATTTTCTTTCTCCCAACAATGTGCAAAAACTTTCTAGGGTTTCAGAAACCCTGAATTTTTCAGCTCTAAATTGTTCCTTCTCAGCTGCAAATCTTTGGAACATTTAAGAAACACGGAGGTAGGAACTTTACAGATATTGATGGTACCTACAGAAGTTATTTTTGACTTTCCACATCCTCCCTTTGGAGACACAATATTTGACATGGATTCAAGCTGCCATAATTCAATATGACACACCAAATCAACCGACGTAGCCTTCATAGTCACATTAAGACTCCAATTCTCAACAGTGTTAACAAATCACCTTTAGGGATGCAAATTTAATTAAACTTCTTTATACTTTCCTCCTCCCCCCCTCCCCCCCTCAATATTTCCATGGGTAAAATTCACTCAGTTCTTTCAGTAGATGTTATCCTTCAGAGGATCCAAACCACGGACGACAGTCAGTCTCTGTCTGTGTGCAAATTGTATTAAGCCTAACACAAAAGCTCTGATTTGAGAGGGAGACTGGTGAAAAGGGGTTTGGGATGAGAACAATGATGAAAGAAAAATAGAGAAGAAGAAAAAAGGAAGAAAAATTTCTCTAAGCAAGACCTTTTAAAGTTTGTTTTCAAATAGGAAATAAGCTTTATTTAAGGGGATATACAAAAAACATAGAATCCTGCTTAGAATCTTCTGCTGTAGAAGTAGTTCTTAAGCACAAGCTATGAATCCATCATGCTTCAAAATAGTTTCTCTGAACACAGTAGGGGTATTGTCGTACATCACCAGGAAGAGAGAAAAATGTGGTCAGTTTCTTATACACTGGGAAGGTCAGGAGCTTTCATTCATCTGTGCCCATCTCTCTCTCCAGCCCACACATCACAGGAATGAACACCATTGTACAAACACTCATGTTTTATATTGCCAGCATAGTTGTGCTGGTATGAGAAAGACAGTGGTTGGTAAATGTATGTTTAAATAAATGCATTTAAACACACACTGAACTCCACTTGGGAGGAATGTACATTTTTCTCACAGGCACTGTAATTTCACAAATATGTAAACATTTCTAGTGAAGAAAATAAGAAAACTCTAACATAAACTGGAATCCCTGCAGGCTTAGTCTGTTCTCTCAGAACAGCTCTGGTCTGAGTCTAACATTGTCCTGTGCATGGCAGGTAGCTATTTTCTGGTTAGGGTACATTAAAATCATTAAGCTAGCAGCAGATGTGTAAATCAAGACCTTGCCTTCATTCCTACTAGATGAAGAAAGGTATTGTGCCTTGCTGGAAGGATAGAATGATCGTAGGTGATGAGTAAATATGGAGTTTATTATTCACAAGTGTTAAATTATCCTACAGTTCACAGTTCAGGGGTTAGATGTCACTGTCTTCTAGATAACTGTGGGTTGAGCAGTCTCGGGATTTGCAGAGGTGTTGGCTTGGTTAGAGATTAAAGTTGCCTGTGTGATTACAAGTAATTAT